TCCTCTGCAAGTTGGCCTTTTGTCGATTTTCCGTTGCATAACAATTGCCCCTACTCCCAAGGCGATGCTTTCGATTTTGTCTTCATCTCCTTGGGAGTATAACTTTTGTCGTGATTTGCCCTTCCTTGTCAGACCCGTGACCGAGGAGATCACGAGCTCCTCAGGGTCTGCCCGAAGCATGCCTCGATTTTTATGGTCAAAGATCGTGGTTCGAGCTTATTGAGCTGTCATGTCACTGTGGGACCCGTGAGAACCATAGTCGAATTGTCCCACCTTTCACGAAACATGAGTAGATTGATGTTGATTTTCCCCTTCATTGCGAGACCCGAGGTCGTCAGCCATGCAATTGTCGCATCAACTGTAGACCCGTGACCTTGAGTGTAACAACCCGTATTTTCTAATACGGTCATTCTGACAAAATGCGGAAACATAACTTTCAAGAAACTTTAAGAAATAAAATTATTCAGCGGAAGCAATTTCTTTACAGAATTTTTCTAAACTAACTTAACTAAATATGAGGATAACTTTCAAACTCATGCCAGTATGCTAAACTTCACCTTCTACCAGAACGATCATTCAATCCTTCATTTGAAAAACATTTAGAAAAACAAAGATGAGTACAAAAATACTTAATAAGCAATTTCGATATCGAATTTCGAAATTCATTTTCCTTTCAAAACATTCATAAACAAAAATATGAACAGATCAAAACTTTTAAAGTCCTTTAAAATATTTAATACAATTTTCAAAACTTTCAAAACAAACTAAATTTTCAGAAACAAAGGTCTTCAAATAAGATAAAATTTCCGGTCAATCAAAAAAAATTTTCATTCTTTCAAAACAAACTTGCATTCATTCAAAACGAACTTTTAATTATTCAAGACAATCTTCCATTCATTCGAAACAAACTTTCATTCGAAACAAACTTTCATTCGATCAAACTTCAAATCCTTCAAAACAAACTTTCTTTCAATCAAAACTTTCAAAATTCCTTCTAAAACATTTGGTACAA